TGTCTGTCAAGAGTAATGTATTAATATTAAAATAATATGAAAATCTTTCTCTGAACACAAAAGGCATTTTATCACTTAATATTATTCATAAAAGCTGATCATATTTCATTCTGTTGGATCACGATAGAGGCAATATTATCTTGCTTGGGCCTTTGCCAGGACTAAGTCAGTTTATGATTATAGATAGATGGAAATGTACTGTACACTTTCTCCAAAAACTAAACAGATGGTTTGGGTAGAATTTGGTGCTGTGTATACACATGGCACCTAATACAGATGGCTGGTATTACAGAAATGCCAAAAACTGAAACACAAAAAGCACATTTGGGGTATTTCTTGACCTGAGTAGTCTATATATATATTTTATAGGCCATAAAGATAACACTGTGCTACCACTGTGCACTTTACTACTGTGTTAAGACAGTACACCTAATATTAGGATTAGACCCTTGTGAGACTATTATATTTCAATTCTGAATGATTTACATTTTACACAATTTACATGATCATCTAATAGTTTACATTTTTATAATTTACATAATCATCTAGAGCCAATTAACAGGGAAACACATTTAAAAAGATCTAAAATTTAAAACATTATCCAAATCTACATAAAGTAACACTGTAAAAATTACATATATGTATCTTACATAAAAGCATTAAATATATATTTTTCATTGATATACAGTATTCCAATTTATTTTATTCATTGAAACATATTGAGGTTAGGAAAAGCACAAGACAAACTGACAAACTGTAAGGAGTCCAAACGAGAGCAAAAGTACCAAAACCGAAACCAGGAGACGCTGACGGAGAACAAACCAGGCTCAGGAAGCCAAAACCAAGTAGTGAATAATGGTAAGACTGGGACTAGCTCTTGCCAGGAAAACCCTAATACTGAGCACCGGGAATAGTGTGAGGCAGCACTAAATAGGCTGGGGAAAAGAGCTAACTGGGAACTGTGCTGGAATGTGAGGTGGAATGCCGATTCCTCTGGGGGCGTGACATAACAGCTCTGTCTTCGGTACAGTAAACAGACATGTAAACTTGAACCAGGGATCAGATAATAGAGTAGAATATTTTCTCAAAGAGGTACTGTAATTACTGGGGGAAGGGACAATGGTAATGCGAAAATATAATGTTGCTTAAGCAATACATTATGAATTTGCTTTTCAATATGTAGTGGTAACGTAGATGTAACATACTAATACATTGTATTTATGTGTAACAACATTTTACAGTTAATATTTGGCTTTTTTGATATAATTAGTGTTTGTTCATGTAGTGTGGGACTTTGGGTTCTCTCTATAACACTGTTCGCATTATTGTGTGTATTTCTGCACCCAGGCACATCAGTCAGCTTAATAAAAATGTTGACCTATATATCAGCACCAGTCAAAGAAAAGGCTTCATGGTAAGCTGTAAAAAAGATTATGGCATTGCTGAAAGACACTAGCGTGAACTGATAATAAAAAATATATAGGACATGTCGGGCAAGATGACAGATGTCCTCATTGCAGATGATGTAATTTTCCGTCTTTCGCTACGGTCTGGATAATTCAGCTCTTACAACGGTAATTGTGTTAATGTGGAATGCACCCTTGCTGCTCATAGCTGAATATGTGAGGAACATAGAAAAGCAGCTAATGACGAGATACGATGGTGCAGCAGAGGCAGAAATAATAAAAGTGCAGCAGGACCAAAAGCACCCTGCAGTGCTGTTTTCTCTACACACATGCGCGCACATGGAGACACACACACGCGCGCGCTCGCATGATTTATCCTGTGATACCAGTGTAAAAAACCAACATACCACTCCAGACTATGAACGGGATATTTTCTGTTGCGCTTAACCAATGATCTCCCATTTGATTCGTTTAATAGTAGAATGATCGATAACCTATTACACGAGTTCCCAGTGAATGCAGAAAACTGACGACTTTGCTGTATGAATTATGCATATGGTGCCTGTTCCTTATTCCGTGAGCATCATAGGAGACTTGTGGAAGAACCTGGAATTGCCTTTTGCATTTAGTGACTGCAGAGAGGGATTTAATGTTTTTTTTATGCAGGCAAGTGGCTGTAACTGATTTTTTGTTTTGTTAGTTTTGTCTTAAAGTGGCTTAATATTTTTTGGGGGCTTTGTGCTTTGTCAGTAAGCAGCAGTCGTGGTGTGCTTAGCTCCTTTTCCTGCTGTCTGTCCTGGTTTTTGCATTTGTCAGGAAACTGCTGTAGCTGAGGCTTTCTCTGAGGTCACAGCTTGAAGTCCTTTTAATTTGATGGCTGCTGCAGGATAGAACATACCAGCACTGCAAACAGCAAGTGGAATATTTACAGGGTATCTGGACCATTTCTCTCATTCTTTTGTACTCTGGGTAAGAAGCTACAGACTGTCCTGTCTCAGGTAGGTTGACTTTTATTCTGGCAGTTATGTGATTGTAGGAGTTTCAGAATACAAAGGCAAAAAAACAGTGAAGTGTTTTTTTTTTCAGACTACTGGCCCTACGTGAACACAGGTGCTGAAATTTAGGTGGCATCTTCTGCTGCAATTGGGCTCTTTTGGAGAATCAAGGTCTTTTGCATGTGTACTGCAAAGCAGAACTACTGTTTGCTCTGCAGTACCTCTAAAAATTAAGCCAAGGTGTTGGGTGTTTGATATAATCTGTCAACTAAAATAAAATCCCTGAAATAGTGAGGTATTTATGTACTGATTTCTCAATACTGATCACCTAAATCTAGATACTTGTCAGACTGCTATAGTAGGGATTTAACATTGTTATTATGTACAGTACAATATACACTGCATTAACAGTACACACTGTAGTTTAGTGAGAATGTTTTGTTGCTCTTCATAAACTAACCCTGTGTAAATCAATGTACTGTATATTTTTTGGAAATTTAAAATGTATGTACTATAAAGAAGACATAAAGACTTAAAGAAGACATATTTTTTACCACATAATTGTCAGTCTTGTCCATTTGACATATTTTATATGAACCCTGCTGTCTGTGAATGATAATTACATGATTATGCTTCAAACACAATCTAAAACAGTTTTACTGCATCATTTATATATTTAAATTTGTTTATTGAATTAAAATGTAAAAATAAACATCTCAGCATAATTTCTGAAATAACCTTTAAGAGCATATTTTTAACTCTTTATTAACCTCATACTAAAAGCACAGGCATGAAAAAACCTTTGTGACCTTTATTATTTTTCTGTCTTTATTGGCTGGGTTTCTTTACTGCAAAGTTGTGTTATTAATTTAAATGTTTTTTTATGGTCAAATACCTTTTTCATTCTTGGATAAAAATTCTTTGAACATTATTGTTCTTTAAACAGTGGCATGATTTTAGTGTGCAATTTATACAAAACAAAAAGTGATTATTCTGTCACTGCCTAAAGGCCTTAAATCCAATTAAACAATATCCATTATTTAGGCTTTGACTGAAAATTTTAATAAGGGGTTCAAGGGATGTTGGTGTCAGAGCAATTACTCTCATTGCATTAGAGCACCTCTCCCAGGCACAGATCTTTCCAGACGCTTCACATTCTTATGTGTAGATTTGTCTTTCTTCACCAATGTTGTGTTTTCACATGGCCTAGAATCACAGTCACAGATATTATTGTAAAAATAGTAGATGTCGGCATATTTAATAAAATAAACCACTCTCCATTTAGTAGAATAAAGTACAGCTTTAAGAGAGAGAACATTTACGTGAATGTATTTTCAAATCATTCATTTGAAAAAAAAAATATTGCATTTGGTGTTTCAAGTATTTGGTATGCCACGTTCAGTCCTACAATGTCTGGAAATCATTGCTGAGTCAGTAAAGTTGAGGAGCAGTATCTACAAGTAAATCATTAATATAGGAGTCCCTGGAGTGAAAAAGATACAACAATTGAAAACACATTGGAGCCACTATGAAAAATTAATGCTGGTTTTGCAAGTCAATAATTGGAATTGGAAATTAAGGACTTTAAAACATATGGCCTGCTACCCTGGGTGTATAATTAAAAAAAACTGTAAAACATAAGTTAAACATTACAGTATTACCCAAATCAATACTTTAGTACTTTTTAGTTATCCTGTATGACATTAGTTAGTCATTAGATATTAGTAAACCTGGATTATCTTTAAA